ATTAGATTTTTTCGGTTATCACCCGTACCAAACTCTACCATCCGCATGACAACCGCGTATAAGCCGACCTAACACGCTTGGCCCATGGCCCAATCCCTTTTCTCTCGGATAAACCGCCCTTATCCGAGTTATTTTCCTTCTTTCCGGCCATTTTCCATTTTTCACCCGGATATTCACACTTCCTCGGCTAATTTCCATTTTCCTCTCGGAGATTTCTTTTTTTTTCGGACACACTCCACTGTCACTCGGTACTAACTCCACTCTCACTCGGATTAATCTAATTTTCCCATGGACTGGACCATTTTCTCTCGGATATGGTCCATCCGGCTCGGCTATCCCAGCCATTCATCTTACTATTTTCCAGTCATCACCCATCCATAGTTTGAACCTCTCAGTTCCCAGCCAATATCCGTACTTGGTTCGATCATTCCTCGGACAAGGCCCTGTCTAGTTCGATCATTCCAAATTCTCTCGAATACAATACTACAGAATCTTTTAAATTTTACTATCATCTCATCTAGTCCTATTATAAATAAAAAACAATAATTTATATTATATTTCAATGTATTCTGAAAATTAGGAATCAGAAATAAGACAAAAGGTGACGGAATGAAAAGAAAAACTATAATAAAATTAAAAAATAAAGAATAAAAAAGATTTTTTTTATTTTATGTTTTTCTTTAAAATATTTTGATTTTTGTATATATATTTTATTTTTTTGCTATAGATAATTTTTCATTCTCAGATATATTATAATATTTTTTAATAAACTAATAATTTTTACAAATATATTACTGATAAGACCAATTATTTATTTATTAGAATTGTAAGATATTATAATATATCCACTACATATTATTTGAGAAGTAATATTATTGAAAATAGCTTACTTGTCAACACTACAGCCAAAGTTAGTGATTTTAATTGATGACATGTAAATGTGACATGTTAAACTTCCTAAAATAAATGAAATGTTTTGATTGGTTGAATTAAAATTATAGCTGTAGAACTAAAACATAAATAAACTAGATTATATTTATAACACTAAAATTAACAAATTTAAATTAACAGAAAATAAAAGTTATTATAATTTTAATTTTTTTACATATATTCATAATTTCATAAAATATAATTATGAATGTTTTTCAACCATATATATATATATATATATATTATAATTTCACATAAAAACTAAAAAAATAATATTAAATAATCTAATAGAATAGTAAAAAAATTCTATTTATTAATAATACTTGAAGTATGATATATTTTTATACCAAAAAGTTATTAATTTACAAAATATATTAATAACATCTAAACAAGTTCTAAATAAAAAATTAGTAAATAATACAATTTTAAATAAAATACAATGATGATAAAAATAAATTAAAGAATAAAATGTTAAAATAATTAACTTTTATTGAAATAGTTTAAAAAAACATAATTTTAAATAATTTTATTTTCAAACCGATATTTACTAATTGAATAAAGTATTTTCTAATTATTATTTTATAATATTAATATGACCATATATTTTTCTACAACTTTTATCATCTTTTTATTATTGTTTTCTAAAAGGTACATAACTTATGTTACCATCTCATCTTATCTCTTATCATATTTTAAATAAAAATAATAGCATATGCATATATATATATATATTTTAAATAAAAATAATATTTTCATTGAATATAAAAATTTTGAAAAATAAATGAAATAAAAAATAACCAAATGAAAAAATAAATTATAATAAGATGAAACAATATGAATCAGAAATAAAAATAAAAGTATATAAAAGTAAATCTCTCGCACTTTGTTTTACAAAGTCAGTTAAAAACTTTTTAACACGTAAGAGCCATATTTTAATTTTTTACAAATACGGGTACATACATATATATTAATTGTACATTAGTTGAAATCACATGCGAACTTTTCCGTGTATGTATTTTGTTAAGATTGATTACAGTCTAATTTTTATTTTAATTATTATACAATTTATATTTTTTAAAAATTTTTTATCTATTCTAAGTATAGTGAAGTGGTTGGTATACTCACATATGTGTGCCAATTATCTATCCGCTCTTATGAATAAATAAAAATAGTAAAAACTATTTCAGTTTAATTTGCAATAAATCAAGAAAAATATATAATTAAATATATTATATATGTATTTGCAAATTCATACTATGTAAGACGCAAAAAAGCATATCGTAGATTCTGTAAGGAGAAATAAAGCATATTATAGAAATATTTAAAAAATATTATAAGAATTATTTATTATTTAACATAACTTTTATATTTGTGATTATATATTATTACAAGTATTATAAATATAAAAAGTTTTAAAATACATTGTTTCAGAAAAAAGTTTGTGAAATATTAAAACAATATATATACAAACATACCAATATTTCAAAAAAATAAATCAATATTTAAATATTACAATTAACTATGTATATCAAAAAAATTATATCCACACATATGTGCTGGCCAACCACCTAGTTTAATATTATTACTAACTAATTTTAATCAAAATTCTTACATCCGTACATTGGTGGAGACTAACCACGTAGTGCCTATCATATACCAAAATAGAGAAGACCAATAAATCATAATTCTAACTTTAAAAACATTATACTAATTAATTTCTGCTGGTTCTTTCTTACTTCTAGATCCTGTTAATTTGTTTCTTCGGGTTCTTGTTTACTTCGGTTTGATTTAAAGTCTTGTCTCTGTGTTTTATGTCTAATTGTGTCTTTGGGGCTGTTAACTTTTTCCTCAAAATCTGTATTCTACCTCCGTATGATGCTCTGTATTATGACATATATTATGATTAATATATCCGTTGTGGTTTTAATGATACCTCAGTTGATAAAAAAAAAAGAACATTATACTAATTATTATAAGAATAATGATCTTTCTGCACTGGTAAACATAAGTCGACATTATTGTATTTCTAATTTATTGAAACTGATGTTGATGTTGGTCAAAATTATAATTTTTGAAAAGTCGTATGAATACAAAATAAAGCACTCTTATAGCAAATGTATAAATATGCTAAATTCTTCGCATCATCCAAAGTTTGGAAAAATGGTGAAGAAACATACATAATCTTATTAGGTTCACTGGAGAGTAGAGAGTGATACATAATCTTATTTGGTTCACCCAAGAGTGATAATTCTCTATATAGTAGTTGACAAGGTAGTTCAAATAAAAAATGCTGAGTTGTTTTAATTTTAATAATTAATATATTTATTTTCAGTAATTTAAATATAACGTATAAATACGATGACACATAAAGATAATATAATTATTATATGTCAATTTTTAATACATGTGGCTTGTAATATAATTTGACATCAAATTTTTGATACAAAATTAATGTATTCATGTTTTTGACAAAAATTTTGAGAAGTAAGATTTTTATCAAATAGATTTCAAATCATATTTTTGAAACAAAACTTTTGTCATGAAATTAATAGATTTCAAGTATTTGACGAGAAATTTGTAGAAACGTATTTTGCTATAAAGTTTTTGATATAACATTTTTGACAAAAAAATTATAAATTCATAATTTTTGGTGAAAAACCGCAAAATAATATTATTGACAATTTTTTTTAAAATCACGTTTATAAAGTATTTCTTTGACAGACAATTTACGGATTTATTTTCTGGTGGAAATTTTACAGATTCGTTTTTTTAACAAAAAACTATAACAACATCATGAAGGAGAAAATTTTGAAATCATATTTCATCTTTAATATAGAATTTTTGATACATAATATACAAATTCAAGTATTTGGTGTGAAATTTGTGCCAACAAATTGTGACAAAAAGATGCTGAAATCACATTTTGACGAAAAAATTATGGATTTAGATATTTTGATGAAACATTTGTGAAATTAGATTTTTAAAAATAATTTAAAATATTATTTTGACGGAAAATTTAGGATTGAAAGTTTTTAGAATTATATTTTCAACGTAAAATGTGGGATATAACTTTTTTTATAGATTCATTTTTGGTGGAAAATTCACAGAATGAACATTTTTACAAAAGAATTTTAAAATCATTTTTTTGACGTAAATGTTTTGGTAAAAAAAGTTACAAATTTATGTTTTTTGAAAAAAAAAATGAAATCGAGTTTTCATTATTTTTTTTGAAATTAAAAATTTTAATAACATTTTTTAGCGGAAGATTTATAACTTCACTTATTCTCTTGTAATACCACTAAATCACCATCATTTTAGTAGAAACTGATGTTGATGTTATTAAAAATTCTAATTCTTGGAAAGTCATATGAATACAAGAGAAAACATACTTCTGGTAGATGTATAAATATGTTCAATTTTTCACATCATCCAAAGTTAGGAAAAATGGTGAAGATGAAAAATGGAGGGTGATAAACCTCCGTTTAGAAAAAAAAAAATACTGGATTTATATTTGACAAATTAAAAAAAGTGATGGATTTATATCAAAGTCTTTAGAATTTTTCTTTTTCGAATCACGTTTTAACATTTTAATAGCTTTTCTTTTCTATTTTTTTTTTGCTCTGATTTGAGTTACATTTTTTCATAATTAACAATTTGTAATTTTAATTTTTTTAAGTCACAGTCCCAATTCCAACCAATAATGGCAAATCTGGAGGTGTTTGGATTTTCCCCCTGTCAACCCCAAATAATTTCCGTCTCTCGGTTTATTCCCTAAACAATGCAATCCCAATGTATTAACCAGCTGATCAAACCAAAGAATCAAACTTGCAAAAGTCTCTTCACCAGACCTTCCAGTAGCCTTGGAGGCTCTCAAGCAAATAACCTCACGAAATCTAAAGCAAAGGATAAACTTTTGCCAACGAGCATATCCGCACATCCGTCGTCTTCCTCGCCGGAAATGCTCGATAACAGTCAACACCCTTTGTCCAGACAAAAGACCTGAAGAGCCTCTCCGAAAATATCAAACCCCATACGCCAATTTCACTGGTAGTTCCCAATTCGAGATTCCAATGAGTTTGTTCTGTAATTCGATTGAGACCCTTTATCCAAAACCTTATCTTTTCCAGAAATCTCACTTCTTTTCCTTCTCCGATGCAAAATTCCGAAACCCTAATTTTGCCGGATTTCCGATTCGCCGTCATTTACCGATCAAATCGTGCCTTAAATCGGCGTCTTCGTCTGAAATCGATATGGTAAGGAACAAAGAAGGTATATTCGCTCCAAAGGAGAAGAAAGTAGTCGTCTTGTGGGATCTCGACAACAAACCACCTCGCGGTCCACCGTACGAGGCAGCGACGGCTCTCCGACGAGTCGCGGAGAAACTCGGACGAGTCGTCGAGATCTCCGCTTACGCAAATCGCCACGCTTTCATCCATTTACCTCACTGGGTCGTCGAGGAGCGGCGCTCGAGGAGGAACCTCGATTTCGCGGAGAGGAAAGGGGAGGTGATTCCGATCGAGCCGTACATCTGCGGCGTGTGTGGCCGGAAATGCAAAACGAATCTCGATTTGAAAAAGCATTTCAAGCAGCTTCACGAGAGGGAGAGACAAAAGAAGGTGAACCGAATGAGATCTCTGAAAGGGAAGAAACGGCAGAAGTTTAAAGAGCGTTACGTTTCCGGGAACGAGAAGTACAACGAGGCGGCGAGGAGCTTGCTGACGCCGAAAGTCGGGTACGGGCTTGAGGCTGAGCTCCGGCGAGCGGGTGTTCATGTGAAGACGGTGGAGGATAAGCCCCAGGCGGCGGATTGGGCGGTAAAGAGACAGATACAGCATTCGATGACGCGTGGGATTGATTGGTTGGTTTTGGTTTCGGATGATAAGGATTTTTCTGATATGTTGAGGAAAGCAAGAGAGGCTGATCTTGGGACTCTGGTGGTTAGTGATCGGGATCGAGCGTTAGGTCGGCACGCTGATTTGTGGGTGCCTTGGATCGGAGTGGAGAATGGAGAGATTGGGGAGGCGGATTTGGTTCCGGAGAAGAGACGGCGGTTTGATGAGGAGGAGGAGGGAGGATCTGGCGGCGGTGATGGGTTGTTTTCGTTGTCTTATGATGAGGATGAGACGTCGGAGATAACGGTGGAGAGTGATGGGTTTGGCAGGTTTAATGTGTCTGCGTTTTCAGAAGATGAATGGGTGGAGGATGATGGAGACTTTGCGTTGAGTGATAGTGATGATGACAGTGACGATGATCTCAGCTTCTAATGGATGATTCTTGGTGATTAAGTTTGCAATTCTCAAATGTTAACCGCTTTACGAAATAAACCGGAAAGGAGAGCTCTCTGGTTAATGCATAATTGTATGTTACTGAATCCAAGTGCTCGTATAAAGCTAATTGTTCTCATCGGATCAAGGCAAAAGAAATTACTCTTCTTGAATTCAAATACTTGTAAATAGAGGCACTTGGAATTCCAATTTCCAAAACCTTTAATCATCACACGAGCACAACTAGTAGGAGATAACAAATTGCAAAAAAGTTGGTAAAATTTATTAGTTTTGCTGTATAGATATTATTCAAAGTATATGAATAATACTAATGCTAATTTTTTAGGCATATGGCCAATACATTTTGATTAGATTATTTTTGAATGGGACTAGATGCAGACTTATACGGAATACGACAGCAACATGCATCGATAGCACACAAGCTAAGATGATAACCATGGTCTATACAAAAAGCACGGCATTTTCCAAGACGACATAGTTCTGTTCCAGCGAAGCATTGAATATCCATCTGCTGTGTTTCGTAACCTATATATATATTAATAAAAATCATTAAACCAACACATACTACTGTAATAGTATATTCAAGGACAAAATCACATTCATGATTATAAAATTGTGGTATAACAATAAATCCGTACCTTGAGTACTAAAAGTTGTTGTACAACAATGAACAAAAGATATGATGAATAGGATAGCGAAAACAAATGTAACTAAAGTTTTCATGTTGAAAACCATTTTTATAATAGTTTTTATGATAAATTTTCGTTTATTTTCTTTATAACTTCTTGTAGAGATTTTGCTTATTTAGTCTGGCTATATATATATATATATGTGTGTATGTGTGTGCAAAATGCATTTTTTAAGGTCAAACTTAAAAAAAAAAAAACTTAACAAACAAAAGTTGAAGAATAACATAACTTTTTCAATTTATTTACTTATTGATAGATTTATAGTCAAAAGAAAATCATATGTTGATAAAAAAGGAAATACACACTGTTCTGGCCCAATATATTTCAGATTTTTGAGAAAAAACCAAATTTGGGCCCTGAAATATTTTTTGGGATATTTATATATTTTTTAAACAAAAATGGACTATAGACGAAAAACAAAAAATTGAACCCCTGATAAAAAGAAAAACAGAAATATTAAAACATTTTTATAAACTAGATTTTGACTTGTGCGTTGTGCGGAGTTATTTGTTAATCTATTTTTATATTTTGTAGTTTCATATTATTATTATGTTTAATTTAGTATATTTGTATTGTTTGTAGTTGTTTTTTTTCAATTGTAATGTTGTTGCACCTTTTTTTATCAGCCTAAAATATGTAAATTTATTGATAAGTCATTTTCTAATATAAATGAACATGCATTAATTAAAAAAACATGTTCTATACTTATACACTGCCACGGGTATCTAACCCTTGACACTATTTATAATTCTATTCAATCGGTTTTTATTTTTTTTTATTACTTATTTTTCCACTGAAATCAACAATATCAATTTAATATTAATTTCACCCAATTTAAATTGAATAACTTCTTCATTTTTCATAAATTTTAGAAAATCCTATTTCATTTTGAAGCACAAATAGTTTTGCAATTATGTTTTTCTCCTACATGAGTAAGATTTAAGTTTTTACTCAAGTTCTTTTCTATGCTACATGAGTAAGCACTTAAATCTTATTTATTAATTGATTTTTCACAGTAAAGTAGATATGAATAAATTTTTTGTTTTATGTATAAATATTTCCGACTTTTTTTTTTTAAGTTTGATAACTCAACAAGTTGTTTTTGTCATCTTTCATATTTATTCGCCTTCCAGCTTTTTTCATATTTTCTTTGTTTATATCCAAAATAACATTTTGAATTCTTTTTTTGTAGAGAATTTATTGTTTTTATGGTTTGTAAAATAAGTAGTTGTTTTATATGAATGATTTTACTTAACTTTACTGTGTAAATTTTTCCAAGCTTTAGTTTTTTTTTTGTAATTTTGATAATTATTATCCAGAACATTTTCCATCACCTTCCATATTTGTTCATCTTCCAATTCTTTCAACATTTTCTTTGTTTTTTTATTTCTTAAAAAAATGTAATTTTATGGTTTATAGAATAATTATATTTTTTCAAGTTTGATAACTATTCTTTATAATTTTTTCTATATTTTTTCGCCTTCAACCTATGTTTTCAAATTTTCTTTTTTTTTATTCAAATTAGCATTTTGATTTTTTCGTAGAAAATTTACAGTTTTTGTGATTTGTAAAATAATTTTTTGGCTTTTACTTTTATGTTAGTTTATGTTAATGTTTTTAAAAACTCAAAAATATGCATAGAAACAAATCTACAAAAGGTTAATATCACATAGAAGCCCAAAATATTTAAAATTCTATACAATACAAAATAAAATGAAACTATTGTGAACACCTTAGATAAAGAAATAACTCTCTAATTATATATACTAAAGCTGTTTCTGCGCTACACGCGGATTTTTTTATAAATATTTAATTATTATTTAAGTTAAATTATATTAATTTAAAATTAATATTTGAAATATTGTTTTTGATTTTCAATATTGTTTTGGATGTGGTTATACATCTAAAATATTTTAACGTATTTAAAAAATGTACTATGATTTAATTTAAAAATTAACTAACTTGATATATATGAAAATTAACTGTTAATTTAAAAATTAATAATTGTATATAAACTCATTGTTATTTTCTAACTTTTAAACTAAATATAAATTATTTTTATTTTAACTAAATTTGATATATAATTAAACTCAACAATTATAAGTTTTATTTATTTAATATAAAATATTTTTTCATATGAAAGAAAACTTATTAAACATATGATTACAACTGAAGCATCTGATTATTGTTCTAATTAATTTGAAATTTTTCATTTCAATTATGTTAGTGTAGTGTTTTTCTTTTTCATTAGCAGTCTTAAATAAAAATTAACAATCGGTGTTCAAAACTCTTACAAATCCTTAAAATAACTATTGTTCATATAATAAAATAACATTTTCGTATTATACAAAATCACAATCATATTAATAAACTGAAATTTTGATTTGATCCATAAAGCATATGTATACTATAGAAGTACAGATGAATAAAGCAAGTAATAAATATACAAATACAACTTAATACTAACTCATTCTATTAAACAAAATATATCGAGTGTCTCAAAACTCAAAAGGTATAAAAAGTTTATTTGCATTTGCTTGTATTTTAACTTAAATATTTTTCTTACACTACATATATATTTTGTAAACCTTTATAATTAAATTAATATCATATATTATATTATTTTTTAAAAAAGTTTCTTAACCATAAAAACAGACCGTGTTAGTTTTCCTTACATGTTGAGTTTGTAAGGAATTTCTTCTTTGTTGATGTGGATGGTCAGAGATTTTTTATGACATTTTATGTTACATAAAAATGTATATACTATTTTTAAATATGTAATTGTAATATATTAATATTTAATATAAAATTATGCGAAGTTTATTTTTTCATATACTCCTTCCGTTTTAAAATAAGTGTCATTCTAAAGTTTTATTTTTGTTTCATAAAAAGTGACACTTTATATTTTCAATGCATAATTTTAAATAAATATCCAGTTTTAACCTTTGACTTTTATTGTTTTAATTAGAAAAAGAATGTTATTTTGTGTGTGAACAAAGGGTAAAACAGAACTTTTAATGATTTTCTTAATTTGTGTAAAAAGTGCCAAAATGACATTTATTTTGAAAAGAGAGAGTACATGACTATAACAATGATTCATATTATACTATAGTTAATTTAATATATTCTTAAAGTATTTATATATTAGACAAAATCACAATCGTATTGATAAACTGCAATTTTGATTTGGTCTCTGAAGCATCTATAAAATATAGAATTGTAGATGAATAAAGAAATTAATATATATACAAATAAAACTTCATACTAACTTATTTTATTGAACAAAGTATGTCGAGTTTTTCAAAACTCATAAGGTGTAAAAGGTTCATTTGGATTTGCTTGTAATTTAACTTACATATTTTTCTTACACTACATATATTTTTTGATAATCCTCTATAATTAAATTAATAATATATATTATATTATTTTAAAAGAGTTTCTTAACCAAAACAAAAACCATTATTTTTCCTTACATGTTGAGTTTGTAAGGAATTTTTTTTTTGTTGATGTGGATGGTTAGATATGTTTTAATGATATTTTATTTTACATAAAAAATATATACTATTTTAAATATGGAAGTATAATATACTAATGTTTAATATAAAAGTATGCAAGTCTATTTTTTTATACTCATGACTATAATGATGATTCATACTATGTTGTAATCAATTTTCATTTATGCCTAAAAGTATTTAGCCAAAAACAAAAGTAATAGTATGTACATAATTATACATGTTTGGTGCTTTTAATTATTATGTGGATGAACTCTATACCTCATAATATTATATCTTATCAATTATTAGTTTAAACGTGTGATTATTATTAATATGAGTTGTAATTATTATTATTTTGTTAAAATCAAGTTATATGTCATATGTTTTGTTACATTAGTACATACAATTTAATCAATATTCAAGTATTACTATTATTATTGATTAAATATTATTTAAATTTAAACATGTTATAAATATATTAAAAAAATATTTTTATTAGAGGTCTGATGATGTGGCAAGTTTAGAAAGCTTTCTAAAAAGCTGAATTGGATGGCTTTAGGAGCGCCAAACTTCTTATTTCATTTAGTAGAGATGATTTTTTTTTAAAAAGATGGACAAAGACCCCTGAACTGTGGAATTTCATCCTACCCTCTTTGGACCAGACATATGGAACAATCTTTTTACTTGACTATGTTTTAACAATGCTGAGATGATATTTATTTTTTATATACATAGCCAAATATTTAATTTATTTTACCCATATTTTTAGTTAAGTTTCTAAAATCTAATTTGCAAA